CGGGCTGAACTCTTTAAATATTGTCCATCGTCCTTCATAACACACCTACAAATTTACTCTCTGGTATGGGAAATATTACCAGATGATTGAAGCAAAGTAATTCTGCTCCCGATATCGCTTCAGATATTTACGACCCACTATCACGTTTCATCGACTTTGCGGGCTTCCTTTGATTCAATTGATAGAAAGGCGCTTTATAAAATAATGGAACGCGACGGTGTTATAGAGAAGATCATTCGACTCATAAAGGCATTTTATGGGCATAAGTCGGCGCAGATCTATGTATATGGAGAACTGACAAACTCCTTCGAAGTAAGAACTGGTGTCCCTCAAGACTGCATCCTTTCCCCTACAATATTCAACTATGCGATAGACTGGATAATGGACACCGCTTGGATCTTGAATACACTGATGAAGTATTCTTCTTTGCTGACAATTATGACGAAATGCATTTTACACTTTTTATAAATTCACTGCCGAGGAAGTGCCCGATTTTAAATATCTTGGGTCCACTCTAATACCACATGCAAAAGACGACATTACAGCCCAGATCACGGCAGCTAGAAATGCATTCTTCCGATTGAGGAAATCTTTATGGAGCCATCGTGAAATTACCACTAAAACAAAAGTCCGCATCTATATAACCGCGATTCGTTCGATTTTACTATATGGTTCTGAGACATGGCCAATGAGAGTGGAGAATATTAAGAAGCTATCTATCTTTGACCACTCTTGTTTAACGTATACGGGTCCGTCGAGCGGAGTCTAGCAACATCAAACACCACCTGTATAATAATGTTATCACACAGCGTCGCCTTTGGATTTTTGGATACTGCTCCGGGAAATAGAAGCTCAGCATTCAGAATTGAGCAACAAACCAATAAGCCATTCTATCTCCGATATATGGACTTAGACGATGGAAAAAGGAATGGCTTTTATTATTATTAGCGATGGCGTCAGATCGAGCACCTTGGACCCTTCTAGCCAGCGAAGTGATTAATCTAACCAGTAATTAATCTAACCAGTAATGGCTAGTGCTGTTTGAAGTAAAAGAAGAACAATTTAGTGAAATAATAGACTTAAGACACGTTCTCCGTCGTCCACTACAAAAGTTGTCGCATATTTCGTTATGCTAAACCGTGTGATGGATGGCGTTAAAAACGAGATGGACCAATCAAGACCTGGGCTGATACGATCAGTAAAGATTTTGAACGTATAGGTGGACCAGCAATGTATGTTAGATGATGGAAAAAGGAATGGCTTCTATTACTGTCGACGATGGCATCAGACCGCACCGCTTAGAAGCGCCTTACCCTTGCAGCCGTTGGAGCCAGCCTAACCGGTAATGGTGAGAGCTGTTAGAAGAAGCTTTCTTCGAAACAAAAAATAGAAGAAGTGAAAACATTACAGTACCTCCTCTTGAAAACACTTTCAGTGAATCGATCTGCTTCATCAACAATTAATATTTCCAATGATTTTAGCGACTTTTTGAAATTGCCATCTGAAACGATTAGATGTTCCAGTCTTCCAGGTGTGGCAATTAAAACATTCACGCTGAAAATGGAACGACAAAATGATATGACACAATGATAGATTAAATTAATCAATGAACTGAGGTTACAGCCATGAGAAAAGCTATAGTTAAGCTGTAGTTAACAAGGGTATTATAAAACGGTACTATATAGAGTACTAAGGGCCATAGATCTTATGAAAATCAAAAGTGCGTAAAAAATGGAATGAAAGAACCCTTCATCGGCTACTTTTTTGGCGTAATATTTTGATTTTTTTCCACCAAGCAAAACTCTAATTCTTATGTTTAATGCTTCTCCAAAATGATTAGCAACATCAAAAATTTGCAGAGCCAATTCACGATTTGGTACGAGTATTAACGCGGCCGTTTCTTTAGCCAACCATATCTAAAAGTTGCATAATTACCTTAAAAATATAAGGAAAAATGGAAATAAATTTGGGAAATAAAATGGTGAAACATGATGGCTTTCCCAATCACTTCGTTAATTACCACATTGTAGAAAAGAAATAAATGGACAACAGATGGACTCGAAAGCAAATCATCCTTCTTAAATCTAGATAAACCGAATAATTAATCTAATAAAACATACTTGCTTAACTTTCAACAAAATTGCGAAAACTGATAACAAATACGCAAGAGTTTTGCCCGATCCAGTAGGTGATTGTACTATAACATCTTTATGCAGTAAAAATTGTTTTATTGAATCGCGCTAAAAAAAAATCTTCCATGAATTGTAAAAATCCATGCAATCCCCTTTTATTTATCTGCTAAAAACATTTGGCCACAAACTATAAGCTAATTTATTTCTCAATATATTTGTTATACTTATGCAAAAAACAATTTCTCAATATATTATTTCTCAATATATTATTTGTTATACTTATGCAAAAAACAACAGGATAATTCTTTTACTATAATTATAAAAAATCCAAATCATAAAATAACATAAATATAATACAATACAAATGGCAGAATGGCAAACACTCTCATGTTACCAAAAGCAGATCTCAGCCAAATATCATCTCAGGTGTCGCGACTTCCATCTGTGGCAAGAATATAATTAAAAGAATCGGGTGATGGTGAAGGTCATCTCTGTTTCTATCCTCAAGTCTTTGTGATAAAGCTCACTTATCTTCCACTTAGAAATAAAAAGAAATGATGAATGCTAACCATTTAATTAACAACTGAAAAATTAAACAAAACAAAGCGAGTACATTAGATTTATTAAGGAATCCTCAAAAAATTCTCAACAAAACTAAAATGAAGTATATTACTAAAAAAAACATGCAGAATAAATCCGGGTTCATAATGAATATAAAAATTAATTCAACATTATTAAAAAATAAAATTAAAACTAGAATTAAATTATATTAAAGTACAAACATCAACAATGTTCTACTGGAGCTTTTCCTAAAAATTAGAACGAAGTGGAACCTGGTTCCACATATATGGCGGATTGGTTATCAGCGAGAAAAATTTCAATTTCTTCGATTCCATGGAAATTGAAACAAATTTGCTGGTCGTACATCGCGCCATTCACGGTCAATATTTAATGGATATTCTCTTATACGTATACCAACGACTTTTGATAGAAATATTGCCGTAAGTATCGAACAAATGACAACAATAAAGGCAAATGCATAGAATGTTTCCTGAATTTAAGTGAAATAAAAAAGAAAATCTGGAGATCTTCATTTCCATACCTCATTAAAATCAACATCCAAACGTGCAAAAGTAAAAACATGTAAATCGTTAATCAAGCTAGAAATGTTATAAGACAGATGAATTGTTATAAGAAGATAGTCAAAGCCAAAAAAACCGACTTAACTACAGGCATATGAATGGTGTATTATTCGGTCCAGTTGAGAAGATACCTATTATCAATATTATTGAAATTTTAATAAAATTTTTCCACTAAAAATGCTTACCTCATCAAACAATTCATTAAATGTTGGAATAATTTGATTGACCGAATGAACCATTTCAAGTGCCCAAGATTTTTTAGTTTTTCGACCACCAGATAGGTAATAATCACCCCAATGATGTTTTTCGCGCATTTAAAAAAAATTCTACAAGATATTTTTAAAAAAATTTACGAAACATAGTATATAAAACGATTTTAAAAAAAACGACAATTAATAAATTTAAAGCTCCAGCGCTTCATAATCATAATCAACCAAGATAGTGACTCCATAGTTATCTAGCAATTTTTAATTCTCAATATTCTTGAATTATGTTTAAATTAATTGACTACGAAGTAAGAAACAAAAATAAAATTAAATCAATTAAATTAAATAAATTATAAATCAAATTAATTAAATTATATAAATAATATATATATTTTAAATAATATTTTAAGTAACATATATATTGTATAAATAATATATATTCTATATATATATATAGATAAATTTCTTAAATTTTTTTATTAAATTTAGTTACCTTTTTATTTTTTGTTTTTTATTTTTATAATTTCATTTCTATTTTATTATTTTCTTCATATTTAATTTTTGCCTTTGGCAAAAGTAAACCTGCCATTATGTCCGAGTGGCTTTTGAGGACCCACCTGTATCTCTATCCTCATGTGATTCTGTGGTGAAGGGGTCAAATACTCCCGACGCGCATGATACTCCCAACCAGGTGACACATGCGATAAGTGCATAAAGGCTTAAAGCGATCCCAAGGGTGATAAATAAAATGTGCTCGCAAGCCAGGGTAATTGCTCGAAACCTATCAAGGGGAACAAATCTCTGCACGCGTGGCAAGGTTAGCCGTACGTCAGAACGCTTATGGATGTTGCAAGTCAAGCGATCACTGTCCACACCCTTTCTAAATATCGTGTCGATATCGCTTGCTTTTCCGAGATCCGTCTTCCTTATTTCGGGTCTCAAGTGATTGTTAATCCTGGTTCAAAATAGAAATACTGGCTATATCACTGTGGTGCTTCGGTTAACTCGGGGCGAAATGGCGCAGCGACTGTCATATCTGACAAAGCCATTCCGCTCTTGAGTGAAAACCGGTAAACGACCGTATGGCCTATACCCGTTTTAAGGATATATTCTGCAATATCTTGGTCATCAGTGTGTATCAGGTCATGCTCCAACTCTGCCGTCAAATGACCGTGATAAAGATAAGTTGTATGCGGAATTTCAACTGCTAACAAAATCTCTACCAAAACATGACATGGTCATAGTGGGGGGAGACTGGAATGCGCGCGTAAATCATAATACTGCTCTGATGATCTCTAAAACTGGCAAATATGGCATCGGAGACCGATGGGCCTGGCATCTGGAACACCCGTTCTTTGTTATGCCGGAGAGCATGAATTTTTTATTACTAATACTTTCTTCCGACATCGTAGAAATGTGGAACTTCCCGGATAACCAACACAACCAAATTGTTTATATCTTAGTCACCATTGGACGAGTTCCATACTAGATAGTCGTTCTAACCGCGGTGCTGAAATGGGCAATCTTCATGGATCTGATCATGCTATGGTTCGAGCCAAGGTCTGCATAAAACTAACAACTCGAAAACAGTCTTTCTTCCTCCAATCTTTCAACTATCTCACTAAAAAACCAACAAATTCGAGAACAGTGAGCGCATTTTAAATGCCGTAGGAAATTATTCCGTCTTTTTCATAAAGCAGCTGTGACACGGGGAACGATTCAGTGAAATGGTAAGGGACAGCAATGATGTGCCAGTCAAAATATTAAGGACCGCCTCATAAGATGGAAAGAATATCCTTTGAGGCTAAACTTAACCATGAAGCGCCATCTGTTGCCCCTGATATAACTAATGTATTCGCTGAACCATATGCTTGCAACCACGAGCCCGACAGAATAAGAAATAATATTTGTCATCCATAAGCTTAAGACCAATAAGACTCCAAGAGAAGACTGGTCTTCGGGCTGAACTCTTTAAATATTGTCCATCGTCCTTCATAACACACCTACAAATTTACTCTCTGGTATGGGAAATATTACCAGATGATTGAAGCAAAGTAATTCTGCTCCCGATATCGCTTCAGATATTTACGACCCACTATCACGTTTCATCGACTTTGCGGGCTTCCTTTGATTCAATTGATAGAAAGGCGCTTTATAAAATAATGGAACGCGACGGTGTTATAGAGAAGATCATTCGACTCATAAAGGCATTTTATGGGCATAAGTCGGCGCAGATCTATGTATATGGAGAACTGACAAACTCCTTCGAAGTAAGAACTGGTGTCCCTCAAGACTGCATCCTTTCCCCTACAATATTCAACTATGCGATAGACTGGATAATGGACACCGCTTGGATCTTGAATACACTGATGAAGTATTCTTCTTTGCTGACAATTATGACGAAATGCATTTTACACTTTTTATAAATTCACTGCCGAGGAAGTGCCCGATTTTAAATATCTTGGGTCCACTCTAATACCACATGCAAAAGACGACATTACAGCCCAGATCACGGCAGCTAGAAATGCATTCTTCCGATTGAGGAAAT